ATGGCACCATCCATCATTTTGGACTTGACCTTTTTTTTGGCTAAGCTTCCGTTTAACAGGAGAATCTTTAATTTTGTACACATTTATCTGGGCGATGAGGTGCGCGCCACACATGCTGCAGATACAGATACAAGATACAAATACATACGTTAGCTCTTTCCAGCTATTTTCGGGGCGCCGCTGACAGCCAAGCGTCACTTGGCAGACAGTCGGGCAGACGGCGCGAGACTGTCAGACTGTCGGCCAGACATGCTACCCCATAAGCGACTTTTTTTAGCTGGCGAAATCTGCACTGCAATGGCTCATTGTTGACGTGGCGATGATTATATGGTTGTTGGTCCACCATGTCGAGGTTTCACTCTGGCCGCGTGTTAAAAATGAATTTGTCATCTCTTAACTGTAAACTGTGTGACATGTTTGCGAAAATCGCCAGGCAGCCAGTCAGCAATCAACAGAAATCAGAAATCAGAAATCAGAGACCCGGCCAATACATCAACTGGGCCCTTGCGCTATGGTCCAAGTCTGATTGATTTGCATCGGGACTTTTTATTTAAATTGACATTTTGATTTCGCTCAGAGTTGTCGTACGTCTTGTTATTGTTATATTTTTTGTCGACTTTTGCCGAACTGCAATAATTATGTCAGTCGCATTTAGCGAAGTGATCGATGGGCCACCGTTGATGCACTTAATCGGGAGTTCGGGGTGGGGATTTAAAGATAATGTGAATAGCACATTTTAAATAAACGAAAAGCTGGGGAAAAGCTGGCAAATATTTAAAAGAAATCGCCAAAATAAATAAACAATTTAACGTGAAGTAAAATTATAAAAAGATGCAAAATATAATTTGTTAGATTTGTTTTATACACCTGGAAAGGGTATTATAATGTAGACGTAAAATGTCTAACGCGTAGAAAGAGGCATCTTCGACCCCATAAAATATATATATTCCAGATCAGTATCAACAGCGTGTTGTCTGTATGTTTCTATGCGAACAAGTCTATATCAACTATATCATAAAATTACCATAGGAACAATCGGACCAAGAGTAAGTTCTTGTAAGAAAAACTTTTTTGTTTATGAAGACATGTTGACGAGCAACGCCATTTACTATTTAAACTGTGCTGCTTATGTACGTGCAAAACCTCATCAATATCACACTATAGAATCGAATCGAAAATGAGATTTCGTATGAAAAATATTCTGTTTTGCAAAATATGTTCATCTAACTTCCCATTTACGAGTTTCATTATTCTCACATATCTGCTAAGCCGAAATGAAAATTCTACAGAGACATAATATACTTATTTTTATGTGCTGATACGACCTTTACATCATTTCTTCCCAGTTGTACAAGCTACTTTTACCCAACATATGGCATATTGCATATGATTTTTGCATTTAACCAGTTACAAATGGATAACTCTTGCACTAATAGTGTGTTATTAATAAAAACCATCAAATAGTAGTTTTGCTGGGTAACTACCAACATCTCGTAATTAAGCAAATGCATTGGATTATATGGATAAGGATATGCCATTAAACTGAGCGATTTATTGTGCATAAATAAATAAATAACTGGCAATTGAAAACACAAGCAATAATACAATTACACGCACTAGGTATCGAGTATCTGGTGTATTGAGTATCGAGTATTGTAATTACAACTACGCGATGGCAGCAGTTATTAATTGATATTCCTACATGGGCAACAGATAAAAATGAAATAAGTGGGCCATTTATGAACAACAACAAACAGTTCCAATTGGAGTCACATTATACCCCGAGCCCCTCTAACTGCTGGCAGGCACCTCCATGGTTACATGCTCCCATGCGTTGTGTAATTGGAGAGCGTTTAGCTCTAATTTTGAATGTCAATTGGCATCAAAATGGTAACCAGGTGGCGGGAATGTGTGTGTGGGTTAGTGTGTGTGTGTGTGTGTGTGTGTCTGGCCGCACACACGTGTGTTTGCAATAAACGCATCGTTCAGATCATTGGACAAATTGCCTCTCGAATAATTGCGTTGATTTTGCTAAAAAGCGTGAAATTGATATGCAATTAAAATAATATTTTTCCACGTGAGTGGCGGCATTTATTATATAATAATATTGGCGTCGATTTAAGCTGCAGCACGTACAGCTTTCGAATGAAAAGCAAAGTTTAAAAATAAAACGTATACATGAATTTTTATAGCAGCTGTTGCTGATTTTGCCCAATGTGCGTGAAATATTAATTTTTCAGCGCCAATTTTAAATACGGGAAATTCACACAAATTGCAAGCTTCGATTTACGCAGGATACATTAAAGCTGCGGCGCGGGCCTTGCGCTCGAATCCAGCTTAATTTCTGGCTGCAAGGACAACGTCTGACAACACCAACAACAACTGCGACTGCTGCGGTTAATGGCTTTTGAATGCAAATTCAATTTTATCGCACTGTTCACTTTTTAATAAGATTTCCCAACGTCTGCCGCTGTCGCTGTGGCTGCCTCCACGGCCAAAAGGTGCACTGTGCTGGAAATGAAAATTAGTTGCAAGCGCAGCCTAAAAAAAGAAAATAGTCGAAAAAAAGCAAAGACTCACAGCCCAAAGAGACACGCGACTGGCAACTGCGAAAAATGCTGTTTGTGGCGCCACAAGCTCTACTACCCCCGCCCAGACGATACCACAACAAGCTGTAGGCAAAGCCTCAGTGGTGGTGGTTCACACACACACACACACACGTCGAGACACACACACGCATACATTTAGACATGGCCAGCACTTTTACCTTTCGTGCTTAGAGGGCACAACCTACAATCCAACAAATTGCGTTTTGTGCAAGAGTGGGTGGGAAAACTGTCAGAATGAATGAGTAGACTGGTCACACCTACTGTCAGTCAGCTACGGGGCAACAACTACAACAACAACTACGACAACAACAACAACAACGACAGCAACAACAATGTACGTTATCATTTTGAACTGACCAAGGCGTTGCCATTGCTCTGCGTCTGCGTCCGACTCTGGCTTTGAGTCTGAGCTCTGCAGCCCAACAAAAAAACAACTTTAAAGTTCACTTAAATTTAAAAAACGTTCTTACACATTAGTGTAGAGTTCTTTTTTTCAATTACGCAAATGGTCTTTGAACATGGTTGAAAACCGCTTAGGTTTTCAATGGAAACAAACCATTTCAGACATTTAACCATGGACAACATTCTAAAAGGAAGACGAATCTATTTTGTGAGAAGTTATTTGGAAAGTTCTCCTGAAAGTGTTGTATATTTTGAAAACCTAGAAATGTGGTCGTCATTTGTTTTTGCTAGAGAACTATTGCAAGGGTATAATAATAATTATTGATTGTGGTAGAAAGATAAAATATAAGTTATTTAAGTTGCCCTTACCATATATTTTTTATAACAGCCAAAAAAAACAGAATTTCAATTAATTGCTGCATTTTGTTAATTAAGTTCAAGTTTTTAAGTGTTGGAAAATTTTAAAATACAGTTTTTTGATGAGATCTTCAATATATTCTAAATCAGTTGTAAAGTTTTGAGATATTCACACTAATTCAACTTCATTCGTCATGATACCTTCAAAATTATCTAGTATATCACGAAATATTATGATATATGCCTAAGTCTCAGATAACTCCCAGGCTTAAAATATACTGGATAGGGTCAAAGATATATTCTTCTGTTAAAACAAACCAACCTTCCCACCGCAATGTAAACTGCTTAATGTTTTGGAAGAGCATATCATAACACTTAAAGCTTATATGAATTCAAAATGTTTGTTATAATACGAATCGGGTGATTGAACTGCTGCATCTTTAAAGCTAATGAGCTTATACAATGCTGAAGCAACTTTTAGTTCTTTCTAGCAAAGTGCCAGTCATATGCATGGGCTTTGGCCAGCTGCAATAAATATAAATACATTCATATTTACTTATTATCTATTCGAATACTTGCTAATCACGCAGCTGCTGCCCGTTGCTGGCGAAAATCTCAATACATTTGACTGTTGCTCATGAAACTGCATAAACTTGGCTCCACTCCCAGCCAGATTCAACTGCCAGCCCAGACGCTATTATTTCCGACCGCATGATTTTATTTTCGTGGAGCAGCCAGCTCCCTGGCTGACTCGAACCCCGAGTGATTACTCCTTTGATATTTCGGTTGGGCGCCTGCTTCATTTTTGTGCAAATAATGTACTGGCAGACACGACACGACACGACGGCTTGCTTGAGACATGCTGCAAGTGGTTGGTTGGTTGGAGTAGCATTTTCTTTACTATCGAGCGACAGAAAACTTCTCAATTACTTTGGCTTGCAAGTTGTTTAATATTTTGCTGATGTCGCTGACTCCGGAAGCGAGCCGGGACGGGCCACAGTGGCCACTTTCTTGACCGCTCGTTACGTGCTGCATGTGTTGCCCTATCAGCTCCGGCTCCGGCTCCGGCTTAAGCTCTAACTATGGGTCCGCTCACATGCGGCAACGGTGGCAACAACTTGAAACTTCCGCTACCAAGTTTGGGGTTAATTATTTTCCACTTTTGTGCTCAATTTCATAATACTTTGCTTACAAGTAAGTTAGTATCCACAAACTCAACTATTTGAAATCAACAGAAAACTTTCTTATCAACTGAGGGACTCTATGCTTTCCTTGAATTTATTAGATAGGTAAATACCAAATGCTGATCTTTACATAAGTAGAATAGTTGATCTTGGGCACATCAAGAGACAAAGAAAATTCCACAGTTCATTACAATATCCTAGAAGGAAAACAAAAACAAAATCGTTTATATCGAATATAAGACCAAAATTTATAATAACACTAATACAAAATTTGAACGTGTCTGCCTTGCAATTTGCTTTAAATTTTACACATAATTTAACCTTCCTATTTAGGCTACTATAATTAATACTTGATATTACAATTTTAGTTTTTTGATATAAATACTTATAAGCTTACAAAAATATTACTGACAATTGATAAATCATTTTTATTTCTTTTATTTTCCAGGTGATAACTCCATAAGTAAGTACAATTTGTTTCTTACCATTGCGCAACATCAAAACCACAACATTTTAAATTGGCTACATAAGTACAGCAAATTGCATTCGTTTGAGTTCGTAAAACCAAAATAAATAATAAACACGACTATATAAGGCTGGAATATACAGAAATTGGGTTTGCAAATGAGGTCCGAGACCGCAAACATAATTAAATGTTATTAAAATACTAAAAAGTGTGCGAAGGTTATGCTGAAAGCCGCAAATGAAACAGCTACCTATTTAAGACATTTTTTTTTTGTTTTGCCATTTTAATTTTCCATTGAATTTTTTGCCATTTGCTTTTTCTCAGCCTTGTTTTCGGTTGTGTTTGAATGGGTCAAAACAAGCTGCAAAGGCAGCGATAAAAGCATTAAGAGTGAAATTATGACAAACATAATTACATTTTTCTTTCTATTTTTTCTCTTTGGAAATTTAGTTTTACTTTTCTATTTTCTTAATATAAATACTTTACTTTACTCGCATTCATTTTAATAGACGGTGGGTTAGTTGACTGCCATTTTGAATCGAAACTCGATTCGTCTAGACGGTGGCCTCTCCCTGAGGCTCGACCAAAAACTGAACCAATCAACCGTCAACCATTTTCGACCAATTCGACGGAAACGACGCTTTTTCATGTTCGTGACCAAAGTTTAAGAGCGCTGTGGGCCTGGATAAAAAAATATTTTACCTGAATTAAATTGAGTAACAAAAACACGAAACATTGTTTTTTACCTCTCGCAAAGATACACACACACGCAAACATACTGCATACATGCACACCGTTCTGCCTCTACTTTTTTGGCGTTTTTTTGTACGTTTTATACTCTAACTAAGCAGCGGAAAGTCGAGCAACTTTGTTATGACGAATGCAAGGCTATTACGGAGAACTGTCTAAACTAGATTTCCATTTAAAGTAATGACATTTTACAACATATTTTGGTATTTGACAGAACGGAAATACAATCAAAGACCTTGTAAACATAAATATAATTATATATATTTTTTAATATCCAATATTTAATGTGAATTTAAAACTACAAATTCCCAATTGCACATTTATAGTGAATATAAAATGTTGGTCTTCCACATGCCCTACCTAGCATGCTTTAAAAATTTTATACAATATAATGAGTTCACAGATAAGGGAATAGAAAAATGATACTAAAATAAACTCTAAGTCAGCCTTTTTTAAATAACATGCACTTTACAAGGAAGATAACATTTTACAGATCTTTAATAGGTAATAGATAAACAAATGGAAAATTAAGCTCAAATAAACTAAATATCAGCCTTCTTAATAAACATGCAGCTTACCAGGAAAATAGGATTTTATTGAATTTAATTAGTTCATAGCTCAACAAATAGAAAAATTAATGTCAAATATACATAATATCAGCAGTTTACCAGAAAGATTAGAATAATGTCATTATAATTAAAGTTATTATTTCAGGGTTCTGTCAGGGCATCAGATCTTCGGCGCTCTGACTACAGTTTTTCTTTCTTGATTCCCTAGTTGTTCTGTTTCTGTTCTGTTGTTTGCATAGCGTATATAAAATGTACAAAGAGAGAACAAACCCCAAAGCGAAACACGCTACCAGTTTCGGTTGTTTTTTTTTTTTTCTTTTTTCTTTTTCCAATGCCTGCCAAGTTGGCCCCACTTGTAATATCATTTGTCGACGTCGACTCCTGTTTCCATGTGTTGGTCACTTTGGTGTCCGGACGCGTCGGTGTTGGTAAAGCGGTTGCGGAGGAAATAATTACATGATTGAGGCACTCGCACACACACACACACACACATACACACAGAGAGACGAATACACACACGTGTGTACACACAATGACAACAACAACGGTTACCTTCTTGATGGTGGTGCTGGTGGTGCTGCTGCTGTTGCCATTGTCGTTGTCCGATCGAACAGAACACGTTAGCCCGGCCAGCTCCAGCTCCGGCTCTGGCTCAAGCTCTGAGGCCCTGTGACCATTGCATGACAGGGTCGTGTATGTAAACACACCAAGGCATGTGTATGTGTGTTTGCAAACGCCGGCTATGAAATGAATGGCGGCTTTGTATACTGAATTCTTGTTTTGTTGTACTCGATTTTGTTGTTCTTTTTTTTTTTTGTATATCATGCCAAAGCCGCAACAATGACAATGACGACGGCGACGAAGGCCCAGAGCAATTATTGTACCGCTTGCACAGTGAAGCAGCCGGCAGCAGCAGCATATGCCCTTTTGCCTGACCACCCTTTGACCTCTTACCCAACCCTTAATGCTTTTACCTTATTGGCTAGCGGGTCGTCAGGGCAAAGGAACTGCAGATATGACGGCAGTGTTCTATAAAAAATATATTTTCTTCCTTAAACATCTTGCAATATAAATCCTTCACTTTATGTGATCTTTTGAATAATTGCAAGAATATTTCCTTAAGATTTCAATATTTAATTTAAAACATACTTTTCTTTAAAAAGTTATAGGTTTCACAGAATTTCTTGTGCTTTTATTATTTATTTATAAAAGTCTTAAAGCATAACAATCATCAGATGATAAACTTGATATTACAGTGCAAACACTCCTAAAGGACACATCTTAAACGGACTGCGCTCGTGGGCGGTTATTTTCTTTCAAAGCATTGAAAATTAGTCCACGACCATTCTTTTATTCTCTATTAGGCGGACAAAAGTTACCCGAATTTCGCTGTCCGCCAAAGGGAGTTTTCACTGTGTTTGCATTAATAGCTGCTTTTCTTAATAACTACATATTCGTTCTTGGGCTCAAAGTTTAAAACATTTGTCAAGCTTTTTTTGAAATTTGACAATTATTCCTTCCACTTTTACATTAACCAACCGTACAAAAATTGAACACTTTGAAATTATAATTAATTTAATTTGTTGAATTAAACAATCCTATATTTTCTATATGTAATTTGCACATCAAAGTCAAACTCAAAACTCCGAACTCTGATTTCCAAAAACAAATTATTATTCACTCAAAAAAAATATATAAGACAAACCCCCATCTTTAGCCCGTTCTACTCATATGAATATATAAACTATTCTAAGTGAGCCCATTAAAGTAACTCATTAAGTTTGCATTTCCCGAGCAAATTATAACAATTCCTCTAAGAGGTGTACACCTATCATCAGATTCATGCTAAGCCGCCTGCCTCTGCTTTAATTCTCAGCTACAATTAGTCTGTCCATAACTGTGGCTAATAGTTCGTAAATAGTTGGCCAATATTTACATGTGAATGTGCGGCGTGTGGGTTGTGTTGTGGTCGCATTATGAAAATATTTGCCTTCAAATTGCTCATCTCTCGATTTCATTGTCCATCGACGTGTCGTCGTCCAGGGGCCCGCTGTGCGCCCGACTCTCGTCCGGGTCGTCTCTTCGTCTCGACGAGGCAGCCGTCAGTCTGAGGGCTTTGAAAACGTTTTCATTACAATAGTGCGTAGCCGCCGCCGCAGTGGCCGCCGCCGCTGCTGCTGCCGATCGGGCAAATGTGTCAGAGCTGAAACGTCATGATTAATGATGGTGGCAAGCATGTGGGCCCGAAGGCCAAGCCAGAGCCACAGACCGAGCCCTAGCCCGACCCAAAGAGTCCGGACTGGGCTGTTTTTAGAGGCCGGGACGGAGACAGCCTGGGGGTAGGGCAGTGCGACCTGGCAACTGGGCCATGGGAAGGGACACACAAACATCGAGAATGGGTTTGGGAATGGAAATGGGACCACAACCGGCGGTGGCACTGGCTCTGGCATCATTTTATCAAGGTAAATTAGACAAAAACAAAAAAAAAACACGACAAACAAAATGTAAACATCGCGCCAAACACAAACTAAAACACTTGGCGGAGCATTAGGCGAAATTAGAAATTAATCCTGGGCTGCACTCGCGGCGTCTCATTGGTATTGTTGTGTCTTGACCATGGCAACAACTGCTCAAGGGGCGGGAACATAATGTCAAAAGACAAACATTCACATTCAGGGGATGAATTTGTGGAATAGATACAACACACATTGACGAATATGTGATTAATATTACTATAAATCATGGACAGCTAAATTTAACTATAATAAACAAGAACAAGCTGTTATCTTCGGGGTGCGAAGAGCTTAGTAGTGTTAAAGACTGAACGATATATTTAGTATTACTATAATTTACTCAACACTTGATGGAATACCTTTTAAGAAAAGCCAGGGTTTTGTTGTGATTAGTACTCAAAAACCTGTTAGGGAAAAAACCAGGGCATTTGAATAAAATATAAAGTTTCTGTTGCACTCTACACAAAGCTGGCTAAATTGGTTTGAGTTTACATCAATTTATTAAAGTCGTATCTAAAACTGTTGTGCCCAGTCGGTCAGTGCGTTCTTGTAAAATAATGTACTATGTCTTAAAACGACTATAAAAAACAGTATATTTTCGCAAAAAAGTTAAAACGATTTTTTTTCATCAGCTAAATTTCCACCTACATTTAAGACTTCTCAATATCTTCAGAGAGATTAGGTATTTTAATTTGATGCAAAATTAATACTTAAAGGGAATAAATAAATAACCAATATTAATAATATAACATAAAATGACTATGCAGAGAGATTTTTACTAAATTAAAATATATTTAAACTTGAATTTTGTCAGTACGATTACTAATAGGTAAAAAAAAAAACAAACATAATTTCTAAACGAGCCGTTTCTGTAGGAGTTGCTGAACATCTTTTTAAATGGAGTTATTCAAATCGTCCAATAATAAAGATAAAGTATCTTTCTACTGCCGAACATCTGTTTTTATTGGATTGAATTTATTTTATTCAAGATTATAATACAGACTACAGCACAATGAGGTTCCGGGCTCAAATCCGAGGCTAGTGTGTGGAAAGTATTGTCTTAAACAAAGCAACAAGAAAAGACCTATATAACAATAATATAGTTCAACTTTCTTAAAGCATTAAAAATTTTTAATAAATACAGCTTAGCAAACCGAATTTTTAA